ACAAAAAGCTGAGAAATTATAATAAATAATGTAATATGCTTGTTCTTAAAAACTAACAATTAGACAAAGATGGCACATCAATTACCTATATATTAATTGTGGCTCAGAAAAATTATCAATGATGATCATAAATGAAAGTAACCACTATTGAACCATAATTGGCATCTAACTAAGACACATTCTGAATCCACTTTATATCTGCGATATAAGAACCAATCAGAATGGTGTACTAGGTCGTGGAATTGCAACCCTGAGTATCCTTCCCCCATTCCCCTTTTTAATGTTTGAACCGGACGAGATGAAGTCGGGATAAACAATCAAATGATGTCAAATATATTGAGATTTGGTATGGAAAGAATTATTGATTTATTTATATACGACGTAAAATATTGCCCAAATGTCAAAGTACATCAAATTAAAAAATGACATAGAATGTTTAATCATTATGGTGAGCTCGTGGTTTGGTCTCACCTATATTAAGTATTCACTTCTGCATTGAATGATACACAAAATGTAACAAGTTTTGACTGTATCACCAGCTCAACTATTTTTATCAAAATTTCCATCGACTAAAAATATTTATAATTTTATTCGACTAGGATGGGTTGCAAAAGCATTTGACAGATGATTGAATATTTAATTTGTTGATTCCATAGGAACGTATGCCTTAGCTGACGAGTTAGGGCAGTTTCTTCCTTTTCAAGTCAATAGAGAGCTATATGCAACCGGCCCTAAATAATCTATTAGAGGACTGTAACAGGAAATATAGTATACATTTCTCGTTTTAGAAAGCCCTTCAAACACTCATAACGTTTGTTTTAATATCGGGTTCACCATTTGAAACGAAATAGACCAAACATCTGACAGGGGCGTCATTTCAGTGTATACTAGGGGAGGCAAGGAACATCAAAATTTCCATCGACTAAAAGTATTTATAATTTTATTCGACTAGGATGGGTTGCAAAAGCATTTGACAGATGATTGAATATTTAATTTGTTGATTCCATAGGAACGTATGCCTTAGCTGACGAGTTAGGGCAGTTTCTTCCTTTTCAAGTCAATAGAGAGCTATATGCAACCGGCCCTGAATAATCTATTAGAGGACTGTAACAGGGAATATAGTATACATTTCTCGTTTTAGTAAGCCCTTCAAACACTCATAACGTTTGTTTTAATATCGGGTTCACCAAGAAACGAAATAGACCAAACATCTGACAGGGGCGTCATTTCAGTGTATACTAGGGGAGGCAAGGAACTTAGAGAACATTTTTTGCATGTGATAAAATGCGGCCCAGACGAATTTTTTTTCGAGTTCAAGGTTAAATGCCTTGAAATCGTGAATTAGAATTCTTCCAGAGTGACAACATCGTTATACATATCACATATCACATTTTATTCAATTTCAATTTCTCATTTTGTTGTATTTGCTCTGTTATGCAAAAATATATTACATGACAATTGGAAAAGCAAGTCAAATGTATTTAAATACTCTCTGAAGTTTGACTGAGCAAGTGAATGTTTATTTTTTCAGATTTTTTTATCTTTTCCTCTCGTTTCTTTGAATGAAAATCTGAATATAATTTCAATAGCAATATGTGTAGTGAGGAGAAAGTGTCACTGATTATTAGTAACCGAATTCTCCCCCAGTTTTAAGAAAGTAACATATATTCGGGTCGATTCTGTTTGCAAATAGCAATATGGTTGTAGAGAAGATATTGCTATCATAGCAAGATTCGAAAAAGTGGAATTCTGATCATTGATTTTTGGCAGTATGATCTGTCAATTTCAATGACATCTGGTCAGCTTTCTTGCTATCTCGGCAACATCAATTTTGTGCTTGCTATCTTATAACAAGGTAGTGGATTCTTTGTTTTTGCACTACAAATTCTTCCAACTGTATGAAAATTCAGAAAATAGTGGATTAAAAACATATGTGAGTTCAGTTGTGTCACAGACTACTCGAAAACCTTTCCTCAAAGTTTCAATTAGTAGAAGAATTATTGAAAAACATAAAATTTTGATTACAAACATATAGGATAGGTTCACTACTGTGACCAACTACTTGAAAACCTTTTCTTGAAGTTCCAATTTGGAAAGGAAATATGAGACTACAATTTCGGCATATCAGAGAAATTTCAGTTGCCTGATGGATAGTTTATCAAGCTATTTTGCTAGAATATTGAAAAAAAAAATCACGATTATTTTCATCCGGCTTTTAGTTGTTTTCTCATTTCGGGGACATGATTGATTACTTGCCAGTACCACAAAAACGACCAGATACAGCAAATACAAAATCTCTCGATTTGAACAATATAATTTTGTAAAATGTCAGCGCAAGACTGACTAATTTGAGAGGTTAGATAATCATGAACTCTTTTTCTTCATGAAATAATGGCAAAATCGATATTGCTATCACTTATAACCAGTCTTGCAGTTACTCTGCAAACAGAATACAGAACTTCATAGCAATATTGTTATATGTTATGATCATAACAATATTATTATCTTAGCAATGTTATAACAAGATCCGAACAGAATCGACCCGATTGTATGCAGGGACATTTTTGTTTTATCAAATTTTTTATTTTCAGAAACTAGGAGAGGAAATCCCAAAGAATATAGGAAAATAACGAAAATAAAGGAACTTCAATTAAATACGAATAAATCAAAAAATATCTGAATGAGGTTGAAGAAATGTGAATCATTGGTTGAGTAGTGTTGAATGATTTTTGTCAAGCAAGGAATACTGACTCATTTCTCAATTTTGCGAAATTATTCAGATTCTCTAATTCATTTCAATATTCTCATATAATTCATTCCATGCAAAAACTATCAGTCTATTGTCCTGTACTAGATACAAAAAATCTGTTAACAGCGCTTCTTGATATTCTCAAATGGCCGAAGGCGCCATTTTTTACAATAATTAAGGGAATTCTGATATTTACTTCCTTATTTAGGTATATTTCGTGTTTGATACCTAATATTATACATTTTAAAATGATAGACATTTTTCAATTTAAAGTACTGATCTGTTTCGTTTTGTGTCATTGGTACAGGAAGATTCATTGTAAAATTATTTTTATTTAATGACGACCATGACGTCTGATTTACACGTTCACTTCCGAAACAAATCGCACACGAAATTAGACACGTTAAGGGGGAGGTACCCTGTTGACATTTCCCCCGTGCAAATCATATGTGTCTTAGCAGATCAACTGACCATGGAACGGCATTGAAGACAACAAAATAGTTAATCAAATATTATATCAGAATTATTTTCTAGTTTTCTTTTCTAGATTTTCAGTTCAAAGAATCTGGATGATTAGTAAATGGTAAATGAACACAAAAAGAGAATGAAGGTATAATTCTAGTTAGATAGCAGTATCGATTTGAGGAATCTTGTCACAACTTCCCTTCCGTATTTTATAGTGTAGAATATTAGTTTGAAGTAAGAGTTAAGCAGACGAAGACAAATTCGCAATAAGTAATCACTAAACAAACTTAAATATTCCAACATTTTCAATACATTATTGTAGAAATTACCGCTCGACATATTTTTTTGCTGTTGTTGATTGAGATTTAACTCGAAGTCACTTATTCCTCATTCACTCAACTCCGCCTTCAACTGTAATGGTCTATAGATTTTATAAAAATGGCGGCCTCTCACGACATCTACATTGCTCATCACACTAACGCAGAATTCAACTACTCCTGACAATACTTTTTGGAAGAATCGATCGATTCCCTTGTGGTTTTCAATATCAGATTCGATATTCTTTGACTTCAAGGATAGCCACGCTATAAACTAATTACATGAGAGGAAATCAGCAGGCAGGGTGTGAAATAGAACCATTTCGCTATGGTTCTATGTTTGCGATGTACCCTAGCCTCAGAAAAAACATCTTTTGAAGAGTCCGTGATACATTTGGACTCAATCAATTTCTTTCTAGCCTTTTTTATGTTATTTGGAGGTCAATGAGATTCGGATAAACTTGAGTTAGATAAGAGTTCAGACACTGAACTTCTGTTCTTTTCTATTTTCTATATAACAATGGTTTGAGTGGATAAAAGAATAAGACATATATTCTGTTCTTTGTCTTTTCAATTTCCCTGATAGCGCCTAATGGTCAGATACGATTTCAGAGATTAGATTTTCTGTCAAATCAATCATAACTGTAGATGGAAAATAGAAATAGGGTATAAACACCTACTTCAATTTATAGCGATACGACAGTTTTCACAGAACAACAATGTAAACGCCATTCAACGATGTATCACATTGCAATTTACTCGATTTCCACAGTTTCCTCAAATTTTAAATTTCATCACGTTGTTTTGCCAACAGTTCCTCTTTCTCCATGATAATTCTGTTTTGCATTTGTGTGATGATAATAATGTGTTTTTTTCAAATATTGTGTCATTTGTAAATGGATGGAAAGCAGATTCTCTCAAACGGATATTAAGATGTTCTGTTTTGAAATGAACCTAAAATATAGTTTGATTCTAATCTGCTGTTATAAGAAGTGAATTTTAATGTATGTACCTCACACATTTTGCTTGTCTTCAAATTGGTTGGTTGATATTTACTTTGGAAAATTAAATTCTCAATAGTCAACAAAATTATATTTCTATTCTGACGTTTATGAAATTTATGGTCAAATTCAAACAAACAACTAATACCAACCAGTGACTCTAGGATGAACCATAGCAAAATATACAGTGGGGAACCAAAAGGGGATAGTTTCAGTAGATGTTCATCAGGTACCCAGTTTCTTTGAGGTTCAAAATCAAAGATTCGAATTCAAAGTGGTGCAGTTGTGTTGATACAAAACATCTTGATGAACTTGATATAATTTTTTTGTCAATGTTTTTGAGTATCAATCTTCAACAACAGCAGAATATGGGAGAAACTAAATACGTAAGTCGTAATAAAATATTTGAAAATCATTACTGCTATCTACTTAGAAAATTACCAAATCAACAATGATATCTCCTTAGATTCAAGCGTACGCATACCAAGGTTGTTTCCGTACCCATCTCAATTTTCCGTGCGTCTGAGCGTGTATTTTAACACTCGCACTCTCTGCTGCTCTCACAGTTTCTTTGACACTCTGCATAAGATTTTGGGCGTTTCCTTCGAGCATTTCGGTTGCCTCTCTATCTTCTTCTGAACCTAGAAGAACCAACAACACGAGTGATTAGGCTGGCTTGACGTTCGAAGAAAAAAGCACTATACCTTTTCAACTTCAATTTCGGAATCGGTAAGTTATATTTCGGAAAAAGTCATCTCGATTCCAGAATTGGTTAATTCGATTTCAGAAATGGTACACTCAATTTCAGAATCGGTGAGATGAATTTCAGAAAAAGTCCATTCAATTTCAGAAATGGTGAGTTGTATTTCAGAATTGGTAGGTTCAATTTCAGAAAACAAATCCTTATTTTTGTTTGAAATGTTTTGAATTGCATGTGGAATCAACAAACTATATTTACAATATTCAACTTTTCAAAAACAATTTAATAACATAATTATAATCTCAACTTAATCCACAGACATGTCTTCCATCCGAATCGAAGTAGGCTAGTGACGTTGCACATGATTATAGGAATGCGAACACATTTGAGGTGTTATCATTCGCATTGAGTGTTCTGCCCATTCTTAAAGGCATCCCCCGCTATAATCCTTTGGCTATGCTCTTGCAAAAAGTTCTTCACATTTGACTTGAAGACACCCATATATCTTCAATCGGGTTCAACATAGGGTTGTAAGGTGCCAATCTACGAAATATACCATCTTGAAATTCTTCCTCCATGCATATCTCTTCTATCCTTGAATGTACAGGTGCATTATCCAGAATTACCACTATGGTATCTGCAGGATGCCCATTTCAAACGTACGCTCACACCGTTTCATCTACTGTAAACAATCTTCTCTTTTGCAAATGAAAACATTTCAAACAGATAATAATATAAGGATTTATTATCTGAAATTGAACCTACCAATTCTGAAATACAACTTACCATTTCTGAAATTGAATGGACATTTTCTGAAATTCATCTCACCGATTCTGAAATTGAGTTTACCATTTCTGAAATCAAACTAACCAATTCTGAAATCGAGATTACGTTTTCCGAAATATATCTTACCGATTCCGATAAAGTTGAAAAGGTATAGACATTTTCCAATTGTATTTCAGAATAGTCCCTTGTATTTCAGAAAGCATCAATTGTATTTCAGAATAGACAATTGAATTTCAGAAAGCGTTCACCACCAAGCATTAGGTGGGGAAAGAATAATGCATGTTATTTGATCCAGTTCATTTATAGTGGAATATTTCAGTTGGTTCGGAATAAAAGCATGATACATACATGATAGCGAATGTTACAATGAATCGATGGCTGATGATATCTCTCGAATTGAAATGATTCACAAAGCAAGAAATAGTGTATATTATGCCATGAGACTGTTGTGACTACAAGATAACATTCGGTACTTGGAACTTAATTTTTACTGATAGGTATGTACATAATACAGGACATTCTTCAATTCAAGTGATTCCTGCCATAAAAATACGAAAAAAATCCCAAATACATGTTCGCAAATGATTTGTTTTCAAGATACCGAGTGATAAACATATTCATGAAGAATAACACCCAGTAGATCTTAATTTTTTTCTTACTTCGAGAAAAACATTTTCATTTGATATTTTAATCTTCACTCATTTTTCGCGAGAACAAAACATTCAGAACACCTAAGGGTACAAACATACTGGAGAGACAAGCGACGAGGTTAGCGACGAGGCACGCGGCGCCACACAAATTCGATCATATTATGTTGTTAACCATGATCTCACATACTGAAGAGGCTATCGCTACGTTTGATGTCGTGACATGCGACGAGGTAAGCGGCGCGATAAAGAGAATACTTTCTGGCTGCTGGTTGTAGGTGACCTGCTCGCTTACGTCTCACATATATGGCAGCAATCTATCGGAAAATATGGTGAAACCTTAGCCGTGGCACTTGATATCTCCAAGGCATTCGATCGAGTCTGGCACCACGGACTCCTCGCCAAGCTTCCATCTTGATGCTTGCCTCCTCAGCTATGTTCTCTGCTAGCTAGTTTTCTCGCAGACAGACCCATGTAGTGTTCGACGGAGTTTCATCTGACTCTCTCATCACAAATGCTGGTGTTCCGCAAGGATCAATTCTAGCACCAACACTATTTTCACTCCATATCAACGATTTGTTGGAAGCAACTTCATGTCCAGTACACATCTTCGCGGATGATAGTACCCTCCATACCGCCTTCTCTTCCAGGGCTCCAATTCCAGCCAGGCAAATCAGAAACGAGCGAGGGAGAAATGTTGACAACATAAATAAAGACTTGGCAACAATTCTCGAATGGGGGTCCAATAACTTGGTAGATTTCAATGCAAACAAAACACAAGCATGCCTTTTCTCAAGAAAAGCCGATCTCACTGTGCCCAACATAAGCTTGTCAGGAGTAACCATACCTTTCTTGGGAAAATCACGTGAGATCAATTGCTAAAAGTGCATCACATAAACTTGGTTTTCTGTTTCGGGCCAGGAGCTATTTCACCTCCAGTCAGCTGCTTATGATCTGTAAGGCACAGATCCGACCTGTCCTGGAATACTGTTCACATATTTGGAGTGCAGCAACCAAACATACTCTGAAACTGTTGGATTCTGTCCAGAAAATGGCAACTCACTTCTCTGGAATACCGTAGAAAAGTTGGCGATCTGGCTCAATTTCATTCGCGAGATTCACGAAGTGGGCGACATCTAGGTTACATAATACGAACATCAAACTGGGGGAAAACAAACTGTTGTCTATGGATAAAGTGCATAGACTACATTGCATTCAGCTTGCTGTAGCTGTAGTCAAACTTGTCAATGACATAAAAGTGTTGGCACTGTTGGGTGAAAAATTGGAGATAGTTCAAACAATTCAAACTAATTATGATGAGCAAATCAACTGACATATAAAAGAACATCTGTTGAAGTATTATTCGTGGAAACTTGTAGTATTTTAATAAGGAAACGTTGACACTCTCGTGACAAATTATTTTTATTGACAATGACTAACTCATATAATGGACGATCTACAGTATGACCAAAATATAGAAATGATCTGCTTTCAGCTTCAACACCTTCCCTCATTGCGAGATTTTGGTCAAACCCATAGCACTCCGTAACTTCTCCAGTCTCGGTTTAAACAAGGGTTTTGTCATAAGGTCAGCAAGTTGATGTTCGGAGGCAACCTTTTCCAATTGTATGGAACCATCTAGCACCAACTCACGAACAAAAAAATGACGGATATGTATGTGTTTTGTTCGGCGATGAAACTCTGGGTTATGTGACAACTTGATAGCAGCCTCATTGTCAACTTCCAGGGTTGGAACTGCTTTCATGGTTATAGTTTCTTCAAACAATCGTTTCAACCATACCATCTCTCTTGCAGCTTCACTGGCAGCAACTATTTCGGCTTCCGTTGTTGATATTGCAACTGAAGTTTGCCGTTGACTAAGCCAAGATATTGCTCCACCTGCGAACATGCTCAATACACCTGAGGTTGAGCGGCCTGTAGTTTCATCCCCTCCATGGTCAGCATCACTGAAAGTTTTCAGGTCATCTTGTACGCCTGGTTCGTATGTCAGGCCGTATTCTGTGGTACCTTTCAGATAGCGGAGTATTCTTTTTACTTTTTGAACATCTAAATCGGAAGGACTCTCGAGCTTTCTTGAGACAACACTAACTGCATAGGCTATGTCTGGTCTAGTTCCTGTCATCAAGTACATCAATGCTCCAACTGCTTCTCTATATGGAAAAGTGGTGTTCAATTCATCTCCACTTTCCTTCCCTACTTGAATACTTTCTTTGACCACAGGAGTTGATACGGGTTTACAGTCTTGCATGCTGAAACGTTCAAGTACTTTTCTTGCATACGCAGACTGACTCACATGTACTGTTCCATCTTCTCCTCTTCCAATTTCTAGACCTAGGAAATAGGAAGCTTCCTTGATGGTGATCTTGAACTCCTCTTGTAAACTTCTGAAAAATCGTCTTTCAAATTATCTTTGGTTGAAGCTAGTAGCCCGTCATCTATATACAAGGCAAGGATAAGCATGTCTTCATCTTCTTTCTTCACAAACAAACATGGGTCGGCGTCAGACCTCTTGAAACCAAGACCTTCGATATAGTCACCGAAACGTTTGTTCCAGCATCTTGGTGCCTGTTTAAGTCCATAAAGACTGCGTTGAAGTTTGCATACTTCCTTGCTTTCATTGTTATACCCTTCCGGTTGCTTCATGTAGACCTCTTCGCTCAGATTACCATAGAGAAACGCGGTACACACATCGAATTGGGTGAGAGACATATTTTTGCTGGCAGCTATACTTAGCAATGATCTTATTGTCCCTCCTTTGGCTACTGGACTATAAGTTTGGTCATAGTCTTCACCTTTGCGCTGTGAATATCCTTTGATGACCAATCTTGCTTTGTACTTGTCAATGGAACCATCTGGATTTTTCTTTATCTTATACACCCACTTGCATGGTATTGCCTTCTTTCCTGGAGGTAACGTCTTCATTTCCCAAGTACAATTTTCACGAAGTGACTGTATCTCTCGTTCCATGGCCAATTTCCATTGATCTCGTTCATTGCAAGTTATAGCTTCTTTATAGCTTAGAGGTTCTTTAGGATCAGTAATCTCTGCAGCAACTGCCATAACATAATCTTCAAAACGTAGGGGCTTCCTTGTCTGTGATCTGTCTCTCAGCGTTCTTCTTACTTCGATATGTTCTTCTGGGTCTTCTTCTATACCATGCTCATTTTCTAACTCATCTGTAATATATCTCATGTCTAAGTTCTCTTCTATTCCATTTTCATCGTCGAGGTTTTGGTCGATTTGGTCTTCTTCAGCAACATCTTCTTCTATCTGATCTTCAACGTCATTGTTTGACGGTTCTTCTAGCTCTCTCTCTCTTTCCTTGGTATTTACATACTCGAAAACAGAAGGTAGTGGAGATGAAGATCTTTCTACCGGTTTTGGAGCTTCTAATGGTTTGAACTCATCAAAAAACACGTCTCTTGATCTCACTAGTTTTTTCTGTTCTGTTGACCAAATTCTATAATCTTCTATATGTGCCATACCT